CTTAAATAGGGAGAAGAATTCTGGGATATAGAGAGGCCTCAAATCTTTGCACCAAAATGCTTAGTTCTGTTTTTCTTAAGGAGCTGAAGGAAAGTGAATCATACACGTGTCTGAGCCCTGGATTGTGGGAGACAGTGCCCGTGCTCTGTTGTCAATTAAAGTTGAAACCCTAATTTTAACAGCATCCACATATAGAGAGAATATGGGATATTTTAGAATAAGGGAGGGACTGGAGAACTGTATCTTTGCCTGGAAAAAGTGAGTGGATCTTCCACCGCAAGCCCTGGGCCGAGTAGTCGCGCAGAGCGTTTGCAAGGCCCCTGCGCGGGAGGATGCGCCTGCTTCCCTGTCCCGGTTCACTGCTTCAGGTGCCTCAGTCCCCAGCCCAACTCTTCCCGGGCGACCCGTCAGCTCGCCTGCCACCGCCGCCTCCAGCTTCCCCTCCCCTTGGCATTGCTTGGCTTTAACTTTGCGCGGCTTCTTTTCTCGCCGGGCTGGTTGCCGGGAGGTGCAGTGGGCAGTGGCGGCGCCCGCTGCGAAGCCGGGGGAGGAGAGGGGCCGGGGCCGGGCGCGGGAGGCGGCGAGAGACGCTCGCTTCTGTGAGTTCTGCCGGTGGGGGGCCGAGGAAGGCTGTCGACGAGGAGGAGGCCGGGGTGGAGGAGGCCGGGGAGGGGTGATGATGGTGTTAAATGTGGCTGCGCTGCTCCCCGGGGAGCTGCCTGAAAGGAGAGTGCGCTCACCAGCTGACAGCGCGTGCTCCGCTCCAGACGCTCCGCACCGCGGCCAGGAGCCTCTGCCAGCCCCTCTATTGTCAACCGCTCTCTAATTAAGAAACACTCACATTACGGCAAACCACCCCCACGCTTCTTGGTTCCTGTCCTTTTCTTTATCTTCCCCCAGACTTCTCTCCTCCCCTGCCTCTGCCTGGTGTCCCAGCATTTTAACCCATTCTCCTCTCCGTTCGCCTTTTCTTGTTAGTGGCCCAGCAGAAGGGGAGGGACCTCAGTGGTCGGCGGCTGGGACTCTGCTCAGCCTAGGGGTTGAGGGTGGCTGGTGAGTGCGGGGTCCAGAACAGCGAGTAAAAGCGTTACCTTTTTATAACTACCCTCCTCCCACCCCCATCTCCCACTCCTCCTCACAAAACTAACTGCAAGCGATTCAGCTGCTAGAGGTAGTCTGTAACTCTCACTAGTACTTGCTGGTTTTTCCAGATTGCAGATGACGAGTCTAGACTGCAATTGCCAAATGGGTCTGCTACTTTTACTTTCCAGCTCTAACTGGGCTTTGGAACTGCCCAGAAGTTGATCACCTGTTTCTTGAACATTCAAATGAACAGAGGAGAGAAATAATTACAAGACACCCTTACATGAAAGACTACTTACTTGGGTCAGCTTTAAGTCTCTAAAATCAATAGAAAGGCCTAGTGAAAGCTTTGGTCCTGTGTTGGTTAAGATTCTTTATCTTTCTTCTTTTTTTCTGGTCAAGCTGGGCCCCCAGTTAGCAAGGTCCCATGGAGAAGAGTTTAAACTTGCCTGTTGTCAAAAAGCCTCTTCCTTCAGCTTTCTGTGAAATCAAATAAGTTTCAAAAAGTGTGATGAGCCAAAACCCTCCACAAATAAAAGTGGTAGTGGGGTGGAAGACAGAATATAAGACGGAATATAAAGCAAGCTGCTTAAAGTATATAAAACTCTCGAAAGCACCAGCAGTGTCGCAAAAGACTAACCCGATTTATCTATCTTCATTACTTTAAGAAATGCTGCCTCTTTGTTTGTTTGGGTGATATTAAGCATGCTTAACTTGCACACATAGTTGATTCCTTTGCTAGTATCTTGGATACTTGGATCTGACTTTGGAAGGTAGAAGCTAATTGCTAATAATGGAGAGAAAGGAACCAGTCAGCATGGCAGGAGTGGTCTGGCATATGGGGAATGAGCGCTCAGAAATACTCAATATTCAAGTTTCCAAAATATTAATGAGATTATAGCAACCTGCAGCTATACGTTACAGCTTGTTAATGGAGTGTAAGAGAGCGAGCTGCCAAACGTTTGTTATGCAAACTCCATAGCAGAACCTTAACATGGAAATGTGATTGTACATCTCTTTCAAAGAAATGCCAGTGTTAAAAGAAATCAAATGAAGGAAAGAAAAAAGAGGTTAAGTCCTCATTTGAACTTTGAGTATTTAATTTACCGCAAAGTAATCTGTCTTTTTGTGCCTATCTTGATGCGTCAGAAGAATTCATCCTCACTTTTCAATCAGTGTGATATAGAATTTTCAATCTGATATTCTGTATGGCTGTTTTTCTCTTGAGAAGAAATGTAAAGTGACTTCATTAAATGAAGCTGGCATTTTCTTCAATTCATATATAATGCCACTAACGTTCACAAGTATAAATATCTGACTATCATTGTGGTACGGGGGTGGCGGGGGACCTGAAATTTACATAGATGTAGCTCCTATTCAATTGATTTTCTTAAAGAAAAAAAAATGTGGGTACATTGACCTAGTGGATGTGAGTGAGTATGTTCTGGATATTGACATTTTCTGGCTGTGTAATTTGGGGGCAAGTCAGGGGCAGTAGTTTTCTCATTTATAAAAGATAGGAAGGAAGATGTTTCTGATGTCATTTCTGTTTTGAAAGTTCTAGGAGTCCAAGAAAAGAAATGTAATAACTTTGTAAGAGTCTTTTAACTCTGGCTAACAAAATGAGTATAAATAGTTTTGAGGAATGAAATATAGATTGTTTTCTTTGAGAAAAAAAATCACAACTTTATTTTTCTTAGTCCTGTCCTTCCCTTACTCAGATTCATAACAGGTAAAAGAATACTATGTCCTCTCTTCTCTCTCCAGCCACACATGCACGCAAGCAAACCAAGCCAAATAACTAAAAATACGTGTGCGCTCATCCTGCAAGGTAGCTCTATGTCCATGCCTGTTGAGCCTGCTTATTGTAAGCGAAATGGAAATGTGTTAGAAGCAATCGCTTGATTTATTCAGCAGCCCCGAAGATTCCTGATGTTTATCGTGAGCCCGGCAGACTCATTGGGTGCAAAAGGTTATCTAAGGGACAGGTGCATTGTTTCTGCCCCTGGAAAGCGTCACGAGCCGCTGCTCACAACTCCCAGAGAGCCGGCGGAGGCTCGGACTTCCCTTGGTGGTCGGCTTCAGGTGAAAACCACGGAGCCCTAGGTGGTCAGTTAATAACTTGTTCCTCGGTTCCCCCCTCAAGACCAGAACTGTGCTC